TTTTGTCCAAAGATCAAGCCTTTTTGGCACCAAATCATTCAACTTATCACCTCCATTACCGGTCAGCCAAATGATTCATGGTTTTGCCTATTACACTTTTCAGCCGCTTCACCTAAAACATACAAGAAATCTCTGCTACCGCATTTACTGAATGCTGCAAAGTTCCTAATCCCGAGACACTGGAACTCCCCTACCATTCCTTCTTTGAAAGAATGGCTGCACAAAGTTGACTATCTATGCTTAATGGAAGAGCTCACACTCACCCGACAAGACCGCAAGACTCTTTTCAAAACCATATGGTCTCCAGGGGCTGCTTTCAAACTCACTCCCCAATACCTAAGTTTGATGTGCTGACCATCCACTCTTTTGGTATTTCTGTTGCATAATGCCACCCAGACCCCAGTAGCAGGGGCAGGCTCATCTGTAGACCCAGCACTTGAATATTGATCTAAGCTTTTATGCTGCATGCATTTATATTCCCATGGCACCCGAGTGTACTAGCATGCCCCCTACGTCCCCCTGCTCCCCACCATCTCCCACTTTGCTCTTATCTGTCCTATTCCTTGCCCGCCCCCACCCCTTTTTCTCTGCTGTCCTATTCTTACCAGGCCCTTCCTGGTACTCCTCCTTTGGAACACCTAGGTCCAGTCAACGCAGGCTTGCGACTTACTTACAAATGTAAAAATTTTACTTAACATGTATCTGTTTGGCTTGCTGACTGCCCCTGTCGGTGTATTAACATGTATGTGTGTTTCGAATCCTGTACGTCATTAAAAATTGAATATTTAAATTTTTTTTTTTAAAAAGGAGGGTAAAAATTAGAAGAGAAGGTAATGGGGAAGATTAGTAAAAGCTGACCATTTACATATAATACTGTATGTTCCCCAGAAGAAATGAAGTAGCCAGCTAAACAATGTTAAATATATTGATTTGATCTGCCTTGGTGCATTATGATAATTTCTTAATGTTATGCAACATAACAGATTTTAGGAACCCATTTCAAGATTGTGTTAACACATCAGGAGCGGGATAAATGACAAAGACACTATGAAATGAAAGAAGTTATTTCAAATGCTGACAAAATCACTTACAATGGATGCTGCTCCTTGATGTTTAAAAGTATTAGCTTCCTGTAGAATCATCTTGCCCCTTGAGCACTGGGTGGCTCTGTGGTCCTTTCCCTTGCAGGGTCCTATGGAGTCACCCTAGTGGGTGCTGGTAAGCTGTTTGCGTCTCCACAAACACACAGGCTGTGACGCTCGCCTGTATCGGCTGTGGAAAACGTGGATCTCAACTGCGGTTCTCAGCTAAAGGATGAGGACGGGAATCAGATAGCAACTCCTCCACCTCGCTATGCCCAGTTTTGGAATAAGGCTGCGAGGAAGTTGCAACACATCATACCCCGTTTGCACTGAGAGGTTTAACAAATGGTGTTCAGCAGACCTCAATATTAATCGTATATAATCAATTGTGGACAGCAAGGTTCAGCAGACATCAATAGTAATTGTATCTAATCAATTGTGGACAGCAAGGTTCAGCAGACATCAAACAGGAATTGTATGTAATCAATTGTGGACAGCATGGTTCCCTACTCCCAGGGAGATTCCCGGGTTACTTGCGGTTTTAGTGCTGGCCTCAGATGCTCAGATGTGGTTTGTAGGCGTCAGGTCCTATGCAAGGCGAGTGGGGAGCTGAGCTGATCAGCGTTCTGCACACTCAACAGAAGACGCTGATCCAGTGCTGAGATGCGGCTTTTAAGCCGAGTGCTGCGTCTGAAGGGGGCGGAGTCCCGCGGCGCGCCAGCGCCCGATGTGGACGGTTTTCGAGGGAGAGAGAGAGGGATCTCTCTCTGCGCCTGCGCAGGGTTTTGCTGGACGGCGGCGGTGGACGTCACCCTCTGACGTTGACGTCTCAGAGTCGCAGACCCGCGGCGCGCCTGAGCAGTGAGCCCACGACCCGCAGTACCGGCTCCGATCATGGTCCGTCTGTTACACAGGCACAGCAAGACAAGCAACTGTCCTTCTCCCTACTCATCCTTCCTCGCTTCTCCCTTTTCCAAGCTAGTACACGAAGAGCTGCTGGTGACTGTGTTGTCTCTTGTGATCATGTATTTGACCGTAAGTTCAGGGAAGCCAATCTAGAGAGAGTTGGAGCCAGCTGTTCGTAAACATGATAACTAAGTGCTTGGGCAAAAATGTAAAGAAATACTTTCCAGGGCAATGTATATTTGTTTTATCTGGATTCAATACTGAAAAAAAGTTTAAGAGTTTATTACTACTTTAAATTAATGGCTTACAAATTTTAGGAATTGACCAGATGAAGGAGCTTAAATTATGGAACGAGTAGTGGCAAAAGACCAGTGGTGGTGCCTTTTTAAAAAATATTTATTATTATTGAGGCATGTATTTCTTAACGGAAAGATTGAACACCATGCCAGGACAAGCATATGTACCTAAATAACCTAATGTCTTTTTGCATCCCCAAGAGTTCAGCAAACTCTTTATGTAAGATACATGGAGACTGATACTAATGCTAAAGGAATTTGTGATTGGTTTCCTGGATCTTCATATTGACTGAGAATTTTTAAGTAAGGAAGCATAGTATTTCTTATTGTTTATCAATAAAAAATAAATTAAAAAATTTAAAGCTACTTCCTAGATTTGAGTTTCTACTAAAATGGTTCAAGTTCACAAGATCATGCATCTTTGAGGACATTGTCCCATGTATTTTCTTTTAAAGAAAATAAAGGGTCTAGTAAATGTAAATTCTTTTATTATTCACATAGTTTTATTTTCTAAAAAAATATGATTATTGAGGGATGGCCGCTATGTCTCACCTAGCATTTAGGGTTCAAATATCTAGAAATGAGTCATCCTAAAGGAACAGGTTGACAGATTTTTAGTAAGCCTGAAGAACATTCTGGTTTCAATTTTGGATTTGGAGTGTTGTGAGTTAAGAAGTAGGGAGATAGTGTACTTTTGATGGGGTGTTGAGATAGAGTCCTGGTTAGGCTTGAGGTTTTTGCTACAACAAACAGAATGGAGGTACAGGCAAACAGTTTACATTCTGTTTGTGTCCAGTCCTTGTGCTTGGCATGCAATTTCCACTCAATGATTTGAAGAGAGATACATGCAATTGATGGTATAGGGTAAAATTAGGTTAATACCTGGATCTCAGAGCAACTATGATGCTGATTTTCTGGCCTCAAATTAATTTGCTAACCAGGGCATGCATTTTCATCAGAAAGTGTTTTAGTTAAATAACTGAGGAGGTTTGCATTAGGCATAAAAGACAAGTTAGGACATTTACAATGAAAAACAGTCCTTAAAAAGATTCTTTAGTCTTCTTTTCCCGATTCTTATCCCGAGCCCCTGCCATCTTCGATCTTGGTGTCTTCTATTAAATTCTACTGTAGGATGTTCAAAGCTTTAGCATAATTCTAGTTATCTTAATTTTTCATTCTCCCTTTATCTACATCCTATAAAATTACTCTTTCTTTCCCACCATTTAAGCTTGTTCATGTCTGCTTTTGCAAGTATTAGGGTCTTTGCTGCAAACATAATAATATGCATGAGAGTACATCTATACATGTTTAACATTTTTTGATCTCTGTCACAAAATTTATGATCATAGGAGACAGGTATACAGAAAAAAAAGCTTGATCTGATATGAAAACTTGCCACTTTAATTGGAGAAATGACATTTTGAAGTGTTTGAGCAACTTGAAGAAAATCCCTTTAAAGTATAATGTTGCCGAAGAATAAATCGAATCATAAAAACCTTTAACTGTTGGGTCATAACATCTGTTTAAAGCAAAAGGTCATTTTGGTGCTTTATATGACAGCTGAAATACTCTCCGAGAAATGGATACAGCAGAAAAAAAGATAAAAGATAAATGTTTCAAATTCTGTTTTACTTTGTTATAAAGTTTAATTTTCTTTCTTATGAAAGTGCTGGATTTTTAGGAGATATAAAAAAAGTTGCAACTTAGGCAAATTCAACCTACAATTATTTTAGAACACATGAAAAAGATAACATGTAAAAGTAATACCCCTTCTCACATGACAAAAGTTTGTGTGAAAGGGGACAGCAGTGGAGCTTCATGTCTGAGCAAAATCAAGGTAAAATAAAAGGCTTCTGGGCAGGATGTGCTGATCTTCTTGCAGCCTGCTCATTCACTGATTGGAGCTTTGGTGAGATGTGATGGGTGTAGATGCTGACTGTATTGGGATGCACAGTGGTGTACATTCTCCATACACTATGCTGTAAATAAAATGGTAATGCATGCCCTACTCTATACACTGTGTAGTACGTTACATATAGACCACACCGATACACTCCGAGCTCTTTGCACTCTACAAAATTGCTAATAGTCATATTGACAGAAGTTACTCATGCCAATGAGATTTATAAATTCCATCCAGCTCCTATTGAACTTCACAACGGTTTATGTTAAAGGCCACACATCTGTACAATATATTAGCAGCAACTGTAGGCAAAAGGAAGCAATAGAATGACAGTCTGCAGTAAGTGCTAAGGGATTTGCAAGACAGGAAATAAGCTGTGCACTGAACATTACTGCTCTCATCTATGCCAATTAAATATCAAGAATCTCCTATTCTGGTGTTCTCTCGAAAAACGTTACATTCTTAGCTATAGAACCACTTTACATTAAAAGCATGCAATGTAGCCCTGTCGGTGGGTTTTTTAGGGAAAGTAGAAATTCATGTCTGTTTGGAATCACTCCCTGGTTCTGACACACACGTTTTTTTTTAAAGAAAGAGATCAGGAATACCACATTTAAAATGATGAAATCAGTATTACAAATTATGGTGAAGTATTAACACCACTGTATTTCAACTAAGGAGATAGACAGGACCCTGCTGCTGTTTACTAGGGCTAGTTGAGGTAGAAAGCTCTTCAATCAATAAACACATTTACTTTTCATTTTTACACAATAGTGAATTGTGCATGCTATGTATATGTAAAATATTGCCTACCTGTTCAAATTCTTCCATGTCCACTTCCCCGTCTCCATTCAGATCAAACATTTTAAAAGCAATCTCAAAGTTTCTTTGTGGAGCTAAAGAAAAAAATGCACAGGATATTTACTACAACAGTAAACAACTAGTTATCTGATCATGTTCAAGATAAAAAAATAAAACTTAAGCTGGCCATACACGGCTTGAAGTCCTGCTGACCATTGTGCAGTCCTCATCTCAACAACTCGAATTTTCAATTGAGTTTTGTTGATGGAGCCAGTTTGAATATTTTCAGCCAAACAGCAGTGGCTGCTGAATACAATAGCCTAGCGGGGAGAGGGATTCCTCTATCCATACTGTTAAGCGTGGATGGAGGAATCTATTCGTGTATGGCCAGTCTTACAGACTATACTTACAGACTAATAAACAGGAGTAATTATAATCATCTGTCTGCCAAGTAGAGTTATCTAACTCTGCGGCCTGAGATTCCCCTATGCTTTTCATGAAAATTTTGTTTTGCTTTTCAGCCTCTTGTTGGGTATCAGCTTTGTGACATCTGTCTGTTTGAAAACCTGCTTCATGACACGTCTCAAAAACATGAAGTGCAGCAGGTCAGCATTTATAAGTAAATGAAAGCTTTATTACATTAGCAACATCTAACCTACAGATTTAATGGCAGTTAAAATAGAAATATAACCTATGTATTGTTTTGAAATATTCATGTGAACAATGCATAAAAAACAGCTTACAATTATTTATTGTATGTAAGTAAGAGGCAGTCTGATTCTCCCACTTTACTACTAATTAAAAACAACGATTTTCTGCAGTACAGATTTAGTAGCTAGAGACCGTGTGATCCAGGTTGCCTAGGCTAAGCGCTCAAGATCAGCAATTTTCATTTTCGTGGACAAAAAGGGTACTCTCATCGACAAAGTAATGATGAGATGTGCCCTGTTGATTCATGGAAAGTATGAAGTTTGATGAACTCACTTTATGTTCAGGACTTCTCTTTTAATACAGTTGTTCTATTCATAAACTCAGCTTCATGCATAATATACAGTACTGTGCAAATGTTTTAGGCAGGTGTGAAAAAATTCTGTAGAGTAGGAATGCTTTCAAAAATATATACAGGTGAAACTCGAATAATTAGAATATCGTGCAAAGTTCATTTTTTTCATTAATGCAACTTAAAAGGTGAAACTAATATATGAGATAGACTCATTACATGCAAAGCAAGATAATTCAAGCCGTGATTTGTCATAATTGTGATGATTATGGCTTACAGCTCATGAAAACCCCAAGAACCCCAAATCCACAACCTCAAAAAAGTAGATTACATGCAATCGATAAAAGAAGGATTGTACAGAGAACAATATCGGACCTCTGAAAAGTACAAGCATGCATATGTACTCAGTACTTGGTTTGGGCCCCTTCTGCAGCACTTACTGCAATTACTTTTGCACGATATTCTAATTATTCGAGTTTCACCTGTATATTTTTCATCAATTTACAAAATTCAAATTGAGTGAACAGAAGAAAACAGCAGTGCCATTAGCACTGAACTGGTGGAAATCAGTGAGACCCAGGCACACCCATCTACTGTCCGGAGAAGTCTGGCCAGAAGTGGTCTTCATGGAAAAATTGCAGTCAAAAAGCCCTACCTCGGGAGGTGGAAACAAGGCTAAGCAAACCTATGAATGAAAACATAGAAACTGGGGAGCAGAAAAGTGGCAGCAGGTGCTCTGGACTGATAAGTCAAAATTTGAAATATGTGGCTGTATCACGAAGAAGTTTGTTCACCGAAGGGCTGGAGAGTGGTACAATAATGAGTGTCTGCAGGCAACAGTGAAGCATGGTGGAGGTTCCTTGCAAATCTGGGGCTGCATTTCTGCAAATGGAGTTGGATATTTAGTCGGCATCAATGGTGTCCTCAATGCTGAGAAATAAAAGCAGATACTTCTCCATCATGCCATACCATCAGAGAGGTGTGTGATTGGCCCCAAATTTATTCTGCAGCAGGACAACGACCCCAAACATATAGCCAATGTCATTAGGAACTATCTTCAGTGTAAAGAAGAACAAGGAGTCCTGGAAGTGATGGTTTGGCCACCACAGAGCCCTGATCTCGACATCATGGAGTCTGTCTGGGATTACACGAAGAGACAGAATGATTAAAGGCTGCCTACATCCACAGAAGATCTGTGGTTACTTATCCAAGATTTTTGGAACAACCTATCTGCTGAGTTCCTTCATAAACTGTGAGAAAGTGTACCCTGAAGAATTGATGCTGTGTTAAAAGGCAAAGGGTGGTCACGCTAAGTATTGATTTTAGATGGATTTCTCTTCTGTTCATTTGCTATCCATTTTAATGTAAAAAAAAAAAATATTAAACACTTTTATTTCTCAAAGCATTCTTACTGTACAGCATTTTTTCACACCTGCCTAAAAACCTTTGCGTAGTACTGTATATTGGATAGTGGAGTCACCCACATATGAGATCTCAGTTTTGGGTCAATGTACCCAGATTTAAAGTGGCAATAAACTCAGGATTTAATACTTAAAAATAGATTCAAGTACATTAAAGGAGAACTATGAGATGAGTGATTTCCACTCACCTCATAGTTCTAGCCGACCTGTGACAATGAGACTGTCACAGGTCGACTCAGTAGATCGGGAGGTGAGCGAACACATACCAGGTTCGCTCACCTCTCGATCCTGTCACGGCTCTCTGCCGTGACAGGGGGAGGGGCTGGATTGCCCTCTCCCCGCTCCGATCTGCCAGCGCTGACTGGCGGAACGGACGGGGGAGGGGGCGGGTACAGCTGGCTCTGCCTCTAGATAGGCAGAGCCAGCTGTCACTCACGCAGCTGGGCGGATCCCGTCATCTACGTCGGGATCCGCTCCGGCTGCGGCGTCTCAGTATACCGCGAGCTGTAGCTCGCGGTATACTGAGCTTAGGGTAACGGGAAGATGCTAGTTTGTGTCCTCTCATTACCCTAAGGAGAACTATGGGGAAAAACACTGACCCCATAGTTCTCCTTTAATTAATAATACAAATATAGCTTATTTGTGTATCATTCAGCTGTAGAACCTCAAATTATCTCTGAATTTGTGCTGACAATGTCTACTTTGGGTGGCTACTTTTGTTCCCCATGGTCCCTGTGTGTGTTGTAAAATAGCCACCACTCCAAGCTCACTCCCATACACGGGACATGGACTCAATACAAATTAGTAAACTAAATGTGAGATTGTATTCCATCACAGGAGTGAGCTTGGAGCGGTGACTACTTCACAACACACACAGGGTGCATGCGGAACAAAAGTGGATACCCTTTCAGGAGGAAGGGCAGTGTCAGCACCAATTCAGAGATGCTTTGAGGATCTACAGCTGAATGATACACAAATAAGCTACATTTTTGTTAATAGTTAGGGTACTTGAATGCATTTTTAAGATTTAACTCCTGAGATTAGTGTCACTTGTACCACTTACCAGCTTATATTGTAAGAAAAAGTCGTGCTTAAAGTAGATCTAAAGCCAAAACTTTTTAACTCATTTAAAATAAAGGAATGGATAAATACCCTGTTAAAGTTTTATTCTCTCCAAAGTGAAAAAAAAGTCCTTTAATAAAAAGGATGAATCTCCTTAAAGGATAAACAGCAAAAAAAAAAACTAAAAAGTAGTTATAAACCCATACCATTCTATCCAAAACAATGTTTTTGCTTTAGATACAATTTAAACCTGGCCCTCAAAATCGCTTTTATGGCTACATTGGTCCAGTGGGAAGACACCAGCACCACATCCCTAAGATTAACAAGAAACAACAGAATCATTAAGATACCAGTATTGGTTTAACGATGTAACTTTTAATGAGGACTCGTTTTACCCCAGTACATAGAGAAATAAAATGTATGTAAAACGTTATTTTATTTTCTATTAAACCTCCAAAACAATTGTGAAACTATATGGATAACAAAGGTAATTTACAATCATCTGGTATTTTTGAGGGTAATATTACACCATGGAATATTAAAACATGCTATTCAACATTTTATTATTTAACTCTAAAGCCAAGTAACATGACAATCTGCAAATGCTTCAAACAAATGCAAAAGCAAGTACCTTAAAATTAAAAAAATGCAAGCCTCCGAGGAAAAGAATGTTTGTTAGTTGATGATTTAAATATTACACAAAACTAAATTAAAATGATATTCAGGACAGAAGTAACCAAGTGGAAAACTGTCATTTTTAACATTAATATTCTATGCAAACTGCTTTGTTTCTTCATATGAAGAAAAAGTTATCTTCTTTAAAAAAATAAACAAGAATACATTTTATACATACATCATAAAATAAGTTTTTAAAATACTTTTATTTATTAATCTCGAAATTTGTTTAAATTAGACTCTGCTCTATCTTTTTTACCCTCCTAAATATTTCTAGCCAGGACAACTGATTATTTACTGAACCACCGAGTCATGACTTAAATTAAGTAGATTATGTCAAGCACTACAGAGCAGAGCAACTCAATGGAAACCTAATTTTAAATTGTGACTAAGTACACTGTCTGTACTGGAAATGCCAATCAAAAACTGCAATTACTTTTCTTAACAAGGGCAAAAGGGTGATATGTCAAACAAAAAAACAGATAAAAAATTACAAAAACCATCTGACAAAAGTATACTAGTCCTTTAGCAGAGGGCTGCAATTCCATTTGAAAATGTGCAGACTGCCAAAATAAATGAAGCAAGGCCTTCTGCCTAGGATTAACTGATCTGCTTGGAAATATATTCTCAATGCTGATCTCAGCATTGGGTGTACTGTTGCTCTGCTAATTCATTTATATATGCTATGTAACTCTGACCCTTTGAAAGAAGAGATTATAATTGAATATTTCAAATGAGATTTCTCTAAAACATATTTTACCACATTGTTTAGATTCCTGGTCACAACATAGAAAAACATTTTTATATTTTAGTCCATACTTATTCGCCATATGTTCCCTTGCTATATAGGGGCGCATTGAGCTAGCCCATTATAGTTATGTTATTACTCCCCTCTCCCCGCTCCGATCTGCCAGCGCTGACTGGCGGAACGGACGTGGGAGGGGGCGGGTACAGCTGGCTCTGCCTCTAGGTAGGCAGAGCCAGCTGTCACTCACGCAGCTGGGCGGATCCCGTCATCTAAGTCGGGATCCGCTCCAGGTGCGGCGTCTCAGTATACCGCGAGCTGTAGCTCGCGGTATACTGAGCTTAGGGTAACGGGAGGACGCTAGTTTGTGTCCACCCGTTACCCTAAGGAGAACTATGGGGAAAAACACTGACCCCATAGGTCTCCTTTAAGTTAGGTTAGTATTAGCATCTAGGGTTAGGGGGATTCATTGACTGTAAGGGAAAAGGTTAAAGTCAAGAGTTGTGGGTGGGGGAGGGGTTTTGGCGGTCAGGATTTAAGATCTCATTTTAGTTTTATGTTGGGTTTAGGGTAAATTTAAAGAGAGAGGTTAGAAGGTTAATGCTAGGGGTAATCTCTCCAACAAGTACACAGACAACAATAACAATCTATCAGAGAATTTAACTCTCTCTCGCTTATTTCATCAATTCTATCCAAAACTAGAAAAAAAAAAGAAGTAAAAGTAAAAATGTTGTTATGGGGTATTTTATTGGGGTTTAAATGGCTTATATTCTAGGCACATGTTATAAGTAGGTAAAATATGATAATAAAACATCAGGCCATGAAACAATCCTTGTGTATGCATTCTACATTAAATAAAAGTTAAACAAAAATAAGAAAATCAGAAGGCTTTCTTAGCACAAGTGTGTCAGCATAGGCTTCTACCAGTTTTGAAAGTTATTATTACTCTCAAAATACATATAGAAAAGAACAGAGAACTTGGCCTAAATGGGACAAGAACAGATAATAGCTGAAAGTTATGAAAAGGAAGGGCTGACAAGAGAAGGATACAGACAGATAAAAAAAAGGGGTAAGGGGGTCAGTGATCTGGATTTTTAGCTCATACACACCAAGATTTCAAGGCACTTACAGTTAACTGCAGATATGTCACTATCGACTTCAAAAGTCCTAATTACGGCTTAGTCAAGAACATCTACATTCCTAGTGTTGCAATTTTACTAGCGCTTGGCATACTCACTTGAAAGAACTGTAGTAAGAAAAATGTAATCTGAGAATGAGATGAGTCCACATTCACCCAGCGTATAGAAGATACTGTCTTCATCAGCAAACTTCTCTCGCTCCTGGGAAATTTTCTGTTAATCATGAAATCAACAGAAAAGCAAAGCATTAGAAAAAGAACAAAATTAAGCAATAGTTTTGGCTCAGAATACTGGATTATACGACTCTCAGTTTTTGATGCTTTCAGTCTTCAAATTGATATATTTAATTGCCTTCTATGGCTTGTACATTATAAAGTCCAAATTAAATTCTACTGCTGGAAAAAATTCCATTTCCAAAAAGGAGAGAAACTATTTTTTTTTAACATGTTTTATTTTATTTTTAGGGTATACTGAAAAAATGAATCCCAAAAGCTTCAAATAAAGCTGAAAGAGTACTACGGATTAGAATTTTTATGAATACTAGACTTACAACAGTAGTTTTAAACAAAAATGTAGGTGTACACATATTTATGTAAAAAACACACTGTATATATAAGAAAAAAAGATCTACTAAAGTAAAACTTTCTTGCAAACATAAAATGAAAGGTCATGCATTTGCCAGAGCAGGATTTGTGAACAGGCACAGAGAAATCTAATAGAAGAACATGAAGGGGAGAAAAACAAAAAAAACACCACCACACTAGGGCCCAGTCCATAGACTTTGCTGTGCCCACTGGTTACCTCTGTCTAGTGAAGATCCAATCATATACAAGATAAAGGAAAGACAATTGGTTAAACACGTACAAAAGGGAATAATGACACAATATTAGAAAAAAATAAAATACATTGTAATTTTATATATATATAAAATTACACACACATACAAGTTGTTAGACATAATATATTCTCGATAGTTGCATCTGTGCAGACCAGATGGCTCTGTTTCACAGGGGACTGTGTTAGCTACTGCCAAACTGATTGCTGTTATTGACACCAAAGGGAATTTGTCAAGCTTACACATGTACATGTTACATAGAAGTAAAGCCTGAAGCTAACACTGATGACATGAGCACATACACTTATCACAGTTTTGATGATATCAAATTATTTTTAAAATCTGTGTTTGCAGGTGGTCTGCAAGAACAGTAAAATACACATTACAACTGTTTGTTATCTGTTCCATTTATGGACTGGATTAGGCCATTCCATACAATTACTAACCTTAAAGTGAACCTACGGCTGGGCTACGGACCTTTTAGCAATTGTGCATATTCTTAACAAGCAGTAAATTAACTTTTAAACAATCCCTCACCTCTGAAGCCCCAGTCACTGTAGAGCAATTCATTCTCAAATTTCACAGCAGAAGCACTTTTCTAGCAGCCCATCTCCCCTTGCTCCCTCTCACAGCAGTGACTTGCCATCCTTCCAGCCTTCTAATGTAAATACGGTGTTGTACTCTAGCAGAGGGAGCAGGGCTAAAAAACTGACAAGGTACCAACTTCAGTGAACCTTCTGCAAATATGTATGCACATATGTATGTATATGATGCCATACATCAGGGGTGTGGACATTTAAGATAAAACTAACTCGTCCAAGGACTAAAGCAGAACCCAATTTACTTGTCCCTCATGACAATTTAATTGTCCTGATACAAAAAATAATTTAAACCAAAACCCTATTTAACCATGCGAAGAAGCATTTCTCATTGGTCAGCGTGGTCACCTGACCTTTGTTCACATCCGTTCTCCGCTAGGCTCCCCGCTCTCCATCCCGTAATGATTGCTGTGGTCCCGGATTCCCCAGAAGAGCGGGGGACCCCAAAAACCATGGCGGGGGGTGAACAAAATAGCTGCTCATTGCATACAAGTCATCTGAGATCACTTGTACTAAATGAACGGCGGCTCCTCCGATCTACATTTAGCTCTGCTTGCTCATAGCAGGGCTAAATGTGGGAAAAAAACTACACGCCTGGGGCCTAGAACTGCATGTCCCGGGCATTGGGAATTCCGCACCCCCTGATACATACATACATACAGTATATAAAGACTTATTTGGTGCATCCAGTGCTCAACCATAGCTATGGAAACCCAGTCTTTACACAATATGCTAAATGGAAGGCAGCAAAGATTCACTCCATAACAAGGTTCATGAAGTACAAGCCATTACTCATCAACAATTCTGTACAATGGATTTGGTAAGTAGCACACACATCACAGCATATACACACTCTTTATGATACATCAAACATCATGCACCATTACAATCATTCCCTTATACCAAAACATCAAGCAAATAACTGCCTTTAGTCCAGTAATGTATTCAATCAAAAACTATTCACACAGGCAGCTTGCGCACCTCCCTGCAACAGCCTGCATTTGGACAAGGGGGAGGAAGTGGCAGACCGATGAGCCAAACCGTCTCTATCCTCCTAATAGCAGGTTCCTTTTTGCCAAATGAGCATGCAGCACACCTGACTGTCCACCAGGGCGATTCCCCCCACTACTGTACATGGGATTACTAAGAGCGCTTTTACTCTACAATGCAGTGCGCTGCATCACATGCTGCAGCAATGCTGTGTTAGAAACGCCATTCAAAATGAATTGGTTGAAATGCACCTCACCGCAAAACACTGGCAGATTAACTTGGGGGCAGCAAAATGCACAGGGCACTGTGGTACACTGCAACACATGCATTGTGAAAGTGCATTGGGGTGACATTCACAAAGAACCACAGCGCAACAATGCAGGTAACATGCATTGCAGCAACCCAAGTGGTGTGAATGAGCCCTGAATGCTGATACCAAGTCAGTTAATTAAAGGGCCAACAAACTAAAGGCCTAAGTTGCTTTACAAAAGGAAGCTATTGATAACATTCAAATGTACGTATGTAAACATTAGTAGAGCTTGCTACAATTTAGATATTTAAATGGTGGTAACATTTGATGCAAAGCTGATCGCCAACTACCTTTTCCTGTTTTGGAGCATTGTTATCTTGAAAAGGGGCAGGAAAAGGTTGCCTTTAGTCTATAGGGAATTACTAGTAAGTAACTTGCTTGCATCTAGCAAGGTATCTCTTGCCTTTGTTATAAATTAATTCCACATATCTTTTACTTCTGTCATGCTTGATCAAAAACGATGAATGTTATCCATAACTCTTGTTTATCGGTTCTTTAAAACATGGGTTTAGAGTGCATTCATTCACTGACTGTACCTGACAGATCCATTATACATGTAACAGTCTAGTACTCCAATTATATGTTTGCAGACAGATGATGTCAATCCTCTGTCATATATCTGTACATCAGGTGCACATGTAGCACTCATTACTCAAATTGCAAAATATCAGAGGTTCTCCCTATATTCAGAGTTTTGTTTCCAGTCATTTCTACACTGCACTTAATTTTATAAAAATGTAACGTTTGTTGTGACAAGTGATTGCAGTATATACTGCAGTAACAGTGTTTTTGATTGTGATGGGAAATAAATGGCTAGTGTTTCTATCAGTGATGCTTTTAATAGTGCAGTTAGCTCAAACTGACCATTATCCACTAATAAACAACTGAAAAGATTTGTTCTATCTAAAATGTGTAGGTGTGAAGTAAATCATTAAATGAGACCAGCTATGCCTGATTCCAATTACAAAAAAAGTTATCTTCTAGAAATACTTCTCTATCACACTGCAGGACTAATCTAAGATCTGCCATCACATTTCAACATCTTATTTCACATTGAGCATTAAACAGTCTGCATCTGAAGTATATCTGAAGTCCATCTTTTTTTTTTTAGTTTTTTATTTTGACTGGATGAAAAAAAGTTCATCCTTTCCTGGTGGGAAGCTACCCAGTATGATCTTGGTAGTTGCATCTTACGGTGTGTAGAGCCACATTTTCCTCTTGTTTTGCATAACGTAAGGGAGGGTTTTAAACTTCTACCAGGTAATTTTTTTGCTGTGTCCCACTGTGAAGATTTCCCTACACTTTCAGTTAATGAAAGTAAATCAACACTAAGGGCAATCCCCATCGTAGACAGCTGATACTAAAACATTTGTCCCCATTGGATAATATACCCTTGCCTCTTGCTCTGGTGACAACTCTAAGATGTTGGATTTCCACTCACCTTCTGTCTTGGTGGCAATGGTCACCAGAACAAATAGAAGGGTGAACCTTCTAAATGTGGGCACAGAAAGCAATTAAAACATTACAGGGAGTCTAGCCCTTCCTTAATCTATCCAAAACTAAAATGTTTTGATTTATATGCACTTTAACAGTTGAGATCTTTTGTTTCACTTGCATAAGTGTATACACTATTTCTATTATTATTAAACCTTTTCTCATGATATATACAGGTTATATATATTACATACATACACACACACACACACACACACACAGTTGTGCTCAAAAGTTTGCATACTCGGCAGAAATCGTGCAATTTTGGCATCGATATTGAAAATATGACTGATCATGCCAAGAAGCTGTATTTTATTTAAGGATAGTCATCATATGGAGCCATTTATTATCACATAGTTGTTTGGCTCCTTTTTAAAATCATAATTATAACAGAAATCAGCCAAATGGCCCTGATCAAAAGTTTACATGCCCTGGAATGTTTGACCTTGTTACATATACACAAGGTGACACATACAGGTTAAAATGGCAAAGGTTAATTTCCCACGTTTGTGGCTTTTTAAATTGCAATTAGTGTTTATGTATAAATGGTCAATGAGTTTGTTAGCTCTGACGTGGATGCACTGAGCAGGCTAGATACTGAGCCATGGGGAGCAGAAAAGAACTGTCAAAAGACCTCCGTAACAAAGTAGTGGTACTTTATAAAGATGGAAAATGATATGACACGATATTCAAAGCCTTGAAAATGGCAGTCAGTACTGTTCAATCACTTAAGAAGTTGAAAATTCAGGCATCTCTTTATACCAAGCAAAGGTCAGGTAGACCAAGAAAGATTACAGCTACAACTACCAGAAGAATTGTTCGGGATACAAAGAAAAATCCCCAGGTAACCTCAGGAGAAATACAGGCCGCTCTAACAATATATTCTCAATATAAAACTATGCCCGACAAAACCTTGACGAGCCTCACAGCTTCTGGCACACTGTAATTTCAAGTGTTGAGACCAAAATAGAGCTTTATGGTCACAACCATAAGCACTATATTTGAAGAGGGGTCAACAAGGCTTATACCGACACGAATAATATACCCACTGTGAAGCGTGGTGGCTCACTGAGGTTTTGGGGGTGTGTGTGCTCTAAAGGCATGAGGAATCTTGTGAAAATTGATGGCAAGATAAATTCTGCATTTTATCAGAAAATAATGGCAGACAATTTGCATTCATCTTCACGAAAGCTGCACATGAGACGCTCTTGGACTTTCCAGCACGACAATGACCCTAAGTACAAGGCCAAGCTGACCCTCCAGTGGTTACAGCAGAAAAAAGGTGAAGGTTCTGGAGTGGCCATCACAGTCTCCGGACCTTAATATCATCGATCCACTCTGGGGAGATCTCAAAACGTGTGGTTCATGCAAGACGACCAAAGATTTTGATTGACTTAGAGGCATTTTGCCAAGACGAATGGGCAGATATACCACCTGCAAGAATTTGGGGCCTCATAGACAACTATTACAAAAGTCTGCCCACTGTCATTGCTGCTAAAGGGCAATACACATTATTAAGATCTGAGGGTATGCACACTTTTGAACAGGGGTCATTTCATTTTTTTATTTGTCGCCATGT